TGTGCAACGGAGGTAATACTTAAAACTAAAAGTAGAAGGGAGGGTAAAGAAATCCTTACCTTTGAAAATAACTTTTGTATACATCCTCTGTATAGTAATTTACTATACACTGATGGTCACTTTTTTTTACCAAATTTAGGGTCACTTTTACAATTTTTTTGGGTAACTTTCATCAATAGAGAATAAATATTTCGTAACTTTTATTTATGTCAGGGTAACTTTTATTCATATTAGAGTAACTTTTATTCATATTAGAGTAACTTTTTCTCATTTTAGGGATAAGTCGGGTAACTTTATAACGGATGTACAATATTTATTGTACATCCGATTTATTTAAAAGTTTGTCGAAAATGAGAAATAACTTTGTTGAGGTCTATCCTGGGATGAAAGGAAGATTTTTCTAGCTAGAGAGGTTTCAGTTCATGAATACATAAACTACATGAGACTCTTATAATTTATACTCTTGGTTTCATACTCTCATTATCCATGTAAAACATAAACATAAACCATTCATCAATTCCCTTGGTTTCATACTCTCATTATCCATATACGACTAAATGGTTAGCTAACTTAGTAAAAGAAATGCACTGAATGTAAAGTTTAAACTTTCAACAAGGTAATAATAACCTTACGGTGTAACTATCATCTAGTGGTGATTATTTGCCGGGCCGGAGCTAAAAAATTAAGCCCGATTCTCAGGCCAAGCTTCGGGCTGGATTTTTGGTGCTCAAACCCGTCCAAAATAATCGGGCTTTTTAGGCCATTTTTGGGCCGGGTCTAAAAAATGCATAAAAACGCATTTCAAAACCTGCCCAAAAATTTAAATTTTCAGGCCGGGCCCGACCCAATTTTGGGCTGAAAAATTCTGCCCAAAATCGGGCCGGGCTAGCTTTGATCTCCTATACTATCACCCTTTCAAACATAAGTAGTTTTCGGCTTGTGTAGCAAATGAGTTGATTATTTTCATTAATTTAATTCATGTTGGTGCATAACCTTCGTGTGATGACTAAATTGTGATGGAGGGATTGATAACAAATATCGATGTTTAAAGTTGTGCATTACCAAATTTAACATTAAGCATGATAATATGGGATAGAGGATTAGAGGGAGATCAAGTATTAGCTCGGTTTTTACTTCTTCATATTATTCCTATTATTCAAACCATATCAAACTAGACAAAATCATAAGGACTATATGAAAAATAATAGTATGGTTTTTATTGATCATGACCATTAACTATGATTCATTAATCTATATCGTGTGTGTCATAAATAATAACACTCGTTTGGATCATATATAAATAACAACACTCGTTTGGATCATATATTAACCTTGTAAAGGTACAATAAAATTATTTTCTCACTAGTAGAATTCCCACAATCCAAAATAAATTTCCATCTTAAATCACTACGGATTACTAAAAAAAAAAGATTATCTTTAAAATCAATTAATGATGAAAAGAATTATTCACTAGAATAAACATATAAACCGTACACCCAACCCTATTATGCCATTTATGAATCAATGAAGAAATCATGCAATTTAGTAAGGAAAATAGACTAGAGTAGCGGATTTGACAAGGAAACACGTAGGATGATTAATACTTTTTGACAGGTGGCAAAATGTGATTGGCCATGAAGCTGTAAAGATGTGATTAGTGGGGCCTAATCACCGTCCATTTTTTTTAATCGGTCATAGTACATGAAATCATAAAGCTAAGCAACTTTTGGAAAGGGGGCGTTAGCCGTTTGCCCAAACGAGGAATTGGAGGTTTAATATGGGATGTGTAGTGACAATAAAACATGGCTCTTAACACATTAATCAATTCACTTTTAATAACATAAACGTACGAAGTCTTCAGTTTGGGTTTGCTATAATTGGGATCTACAATATTCTTTTACCATGCATACATTCTTCTTCTTTTTACAATATTCGATAAAAAGATAATTAGTCGAGTAGATGTGATTTACAAAACATGCTAGTAGAATAATCAAGATGTACTTAGAAACAAAGTTATAAGTTAGAACGGTTATTATGATTTTATCGGTCATGAGAAGGCCAATTGAATTTTGAAGGCTAAAAATGAATAATGAACATGTTATTTAGCTTGAGTCGTAGATTTTAAGGGTTTAGTGGTCGTTTGATTAAAATTAGAAAGTATAATACGTAAGTTGTTTAGTTGATTATAGAATTTTAGAGTTTTCGACATGCATTTATAGGCAATTATATAAGAATATTTTTAAAAACTACTTGATCTAAGAATTAGAACTTCCTAGCCATGATTGTATATATTATGTGCTCTCAGGGCCTGTTCTGATTTACTGAAGTGAGCTGAAATAAACTGTATTGATTGGAGCTGAGCTGAACTGACCTGAATATTTTATGAGAAAAGGAAATCAGAAACTGGACTGAACTGAACTGAATTGCATTGAACTGAGCTGATTGGAGCTGAACTGAAGTAAACTAAACTAAACTAAACTGAAATTAAGTTGAAGAGAATAGACCCTCATTTATTTAACAGCTCTACTGGCATTTACTAAAATACACAACTTTACTTATACTTATATGTCAATAAAACGACTACTATTTATTTCTTTCTAATAGTTGTTTCAATTAACTCACAATTACCTGTTACCCTAAAGGGTATCTAGTTAGAAGCTAGCCTAGTAATATTTCTATTGACATGTAACTAGACATGACCACCAATATGAGTCCCATCCAACAAAAGCCAATGAAAATATGGAGAAAAAGTGGTTTAGAGAAGGACTTTCGGTGGCTGATAAGTGATAAGTTAGGTTCCAATGGCTAGATCTAACCATCTTCAAAATTAGCACCAATAGAATAGATATACATGATTATTCCATTTGCTTACGCAAGGTTTTTGAAATTAAGGCTTTTTTTGCTACCTTATATAGTGTCGTTTTATGTTTCTATAATGAAATTCAGCAACCATTTTCAATTCACCATGATTCTAGGACTTAAACCTAACATATTGGCTCTTTTCTTTTATTATATGTCTCTTTTACTATTTTAAAATCAAAGGCATGCATTTGCATTCTTCCATGCATGTCACAGTTTTTCTTATGATTGTCCTTATTGTAAGTTATCACTTTGTTTTTGTTAAAATAAATTTATAATATAGATAGAAAAGGGTTTGCTTTTATTAATTATTAATAATCAGGAAAATACTTTTTTTTTTTTTTTTTTTTTTTTTAGAGAGCCACAAGAGCGGCTGATAAATATCGATCCCAAGATCACAGAGCTCTAACTACTTGAACTATCCCTCTCTCTCAATTAGGAAAATACATTAAGTAATGGCTAACATTTTATGTTCATTTTATTACTCCAAACCAAATTATTTTTCTTTCAAACAATGTTAAACATTTAAACAGGATCGTTGTGCAATTTCTTCCCTAAACATTTATTTTCTGGTTCTACAATTTACTTCGATCCAACAAATTATAGAAACTCTAAATTGTTTTTTAAGCTGTAAATTTTGTAAAATTCAATTCAATACATATTATTTGTTATATTATCAAAATGTGAGAATATATAAACCCATCCAATTTGAAAATAAACGATAATTAAATATATACAAGGATTGGACTAAGATCTATATATAACAACAATCTTGTTAAGTAAAGGATCCAAACAAAAATGGAGCATTAATCACATAAAGTCTAGAGGTATATTTGTACACTTTTAATTATTTTGTTTCAATGAATTTTACACTAGGGAGATGGTCTACGATTTAGAGTTATTGTATATATTTCATAAAGATTTGTACAAAAAAGGTGGATATTATCATTATTCATAAATAGCTTAATATTACACAATTTAACATGCACGATCTCTTGGATTTCGCCACAAAAAGATATAAAATCTCGAGTTAAAATAAATAATTCTACTTTATGAAACAATAGCTTCTAGCATGAGATGTATGTGATCGTGTAATGGTAGATCCCAGTGTAAAAAAAGTCTTGAATGAATCATATTTCTAGTCCCTAAGTTTGACTTAATGAATACGTAACAAATTCACTAAGATAGAAATTTGGGAGGTTGCTAGAAATAGCCAATAACTAGGGATTCTAGCAGTATAATGTATGAACATGAGTGAATCATAGTGAGGTTACCCTTAAGAGAGACTGCACAAAGCACAGCAGCACACAACTCCAAACATTGAATCATGATATCAAACACAAACTAAACAAGATTTATCTCGGTTTACCCTAACTTCCTTTCAAAGAACTAAATAATCGGTCACTTTCTAAATATAATGTTTGTAAGTTCAAATTTGAAAAAACTATTTTCATACTACAATTCCCTTCTTCAATAATTATAATGAAAAATACTGTTACATTATTGTTGTATTGGCTACATACATGTAAGCTAAGATTTTATAGAGTGAAAGGTTTTATTTAACACAGATTCATAGTGTAAATAATTGGCTTCCAACCAGATAGATCTGACTTAAAATCTTACTTTATTTAGAATTTTAAGTTAATTTAAAAATTTATAACTTAGGGCCTGTTCTCATACGTTGAAGTTCAGTTCTGTTCAATTCGATCAGTTCAACTCAGTTTAGTTCAGTTCAGTTCCTAATTTCCTTCTCTTATAAAATATTCATTTCAGTTCAATTCAGTTCAGTTCAGTTCAGTTCAGCTGAGTTCAGTCAATGAGAACAGACCCTTATTCAATGTTATTATATATTTAATATCTTAACTTTTCTTCTTCTTCATATTTTTAATAACCTTTTTATTTAAAAAAATCATTTTTGTTCCTATTAGATATGGTAAAATCTCTGATCTTTTTGACATACCCATATTATACCAAGCAAACATGCTAATTTGACCTTAAATTCAGTGCTTTCAATTTGATTAAAGTCCCAAGATTCTTCAAAATACTCCCACTAGAAAACCCATTTTTTTTCCTCCCTTTTTTGGTCCCACCTAATAAAATTTGTAGATGCACCATCACTTGATCTGCCCTATAAATACTCTTTTCCATTGATCAATTTTTTCATCACCTTTTCTCAGCTCAGCTTATTTACTTCCCTTATTTGCTTTCTTTTAACACCCTTTTCTTGTTTTCTTTCTTGATCACTTTCATCATTTTACTCAAATTCCATCATAGCAATGGCCACTGTCCAGGTAAGATAATTCAATATCATTTCGTCTATTGTTTTGTCAATGAAGTCATTTTTTTTATAGGTAACAAAATTAAAGATTAATTTAGTACTCCTCATATTTCTTGTGTTGTGTTACGATTGATAATATTTTTAGCGTTGTATTATAATCGTAATAACTAAATTTAGACAGAGGGAGTACATAGTATAGTGATGCAGTACTATATGTCTATTTATATTGATTGATCAGTACAATATGTATAGTCAATAATGTCTTTGTGCATTATTGATCATTTTGATTATTGTACTTGAGTGTTCCTTACTAGTATTTTAATATTTTAAATCCTCTCACTAGCTAAATTTCATACAGTATTTGAAAGCATTTTTTTATTAAGGTTTTTGATCATGTGCTTGTTTAATAAGGATTGCGTACATTTTAACCTTGTTAATGTCATTTGTAGTGCATGATTACAAAAGTAGTATGGAGTATCTCATTTGCTACATCTGTTTATACAATAGGTGCATCATTTTGATTTTTCACACTATTCCTACACTAACTTTGAGTTTAAAATCGAATTTCATTATTTTTAATTGTTGTTGAGTTAACCTCTATGTAATCAATCAAAATAATGCAGGAGAAAAAAAATTTATTTATTGATATGTAGCAACAAATTGTTGGTTCACTAGCAACTTCATATAGATCCATATTGTTTTATTTGGTTAATTATTTTGTTAAGGTTAAACCTGAGCAGGTTGCTTCAGCTCAGACAGCACTGCCACAGGAGAAGAAAGTGGAGGAACCAGCAAAAACTTCGCCACCCCAAGTAGAAGAAGAGAAGGCAGCAGAATTCGCCGAGCCAGAGCAGCCTAAGGTTGACTCTGCTGAAGAGAAACAACCAGCACCACCATCATCAGTAGAAGGTGAAAAAATTGAAAACACTGCAGTACAAGAAGAGGCGAAAGCTGAGGCAGAGCAACAACAGCAAGCAGAACCTGCTGCTGCAGTTGAAGCAGAAAATGTTGCAGAACAAGAAAAAGAAAACACTGCAACTAAGGATGATGATCAAGCAGTCGAGGAGGCTAAGGAAGCAATAGAAGAGCTGGAGGTTGAGGAAAAGAAGTCGTCTACTCCTGTCGAGGAGTCCTCGAAGGTGGCACCAGAGCCTGTGGCAGAGGAAAGCAAAAAGGAAAACAAGGAAGCAGAAGTCAAGGAAGCAAAGGAGGAAGCAGCAGTGAAGCAGGAAGACACTGCAGAAGCGAAGAAGCCGGCTGAGAAGACTGATGAAGTGAAGGCTGGTCCTGCGGCAGCACCTGCAGAACCTGAAGCAGATGCTGCTGTTGCTGTTATTGAGGCTGATACTGCATGATTTGGAAAAGAAAAAAAAAACTTCTGTTTTCTGAGATCATGTAATGGATTTTACCTTTCATTTTAATTTGTGTGTGTGTTAAATTAGATGAATATGTTAAATTGGTCTGCTATATGTATTATGTAGTAATGGTTGTATTTTCGATGTGGTCGAATTAAGCCCATTTTGGTGAAATAAGGATGTAATGAGCTTTTATCAGACTCTTGTATGTTTATCCAAGATGGGAAGTATGATTCTGGCTCGCTATTAGATCAATGAAATACGGCGTATTTTGTTTAATACTTGTTTAGAGTAAATTCACTGTCCTTCATTTTAAATTGAACATACTTATTACTTGACCTGCTAGCAATCTTTTAAGTCGTTTGTGTCAAAATCCTTAACATTTTACTCCATGTTATTGTCTGTGATACAAAATTTTTACTGTCCAGCTATATGAAAAGACGTACGAGACATACACTAAAATTATTATACACCCGGGGCACACAAAAGTTTTTGTAGACCGTTTATGGTTATAGTTGTAAATTAACAAATGTGCCTAGTCAATATAGTCCAAGAGATGACGAACCTAGAAATATTAAGATTTGTAAGACAAAACAATCGCGGTCGTAGTCCTTGTATATTATATAAAGGACCAAAACCAAGCTAAAGACATTATTAATTCAATATAATGATATCCAATGTAAAAAGGATGGGTCTACCACTACTGACCACTTATATATGAGAAAAGCAGTAAATTCTAAGAGGCTAACCACATTCTGTGTCTAAATTTGTCATTACAGCAAAGAGGTGAATTGATCATAACAATGGCCATCAACCTTCCCGGAAATTCCTCATTCACGGCGCCGGGAAGAGGCAGAGATGAAATTTACGTGGCCACGATGCCTCTACGGGCAACCAAGGGACCTGCTCAATTACTCATGTCTGCTGCCTATTCTCTCAACTTGTGGCATCTTCAACATTTCATGCTCATCATCAAACCATCCATCACTTCTGCCTCTCCTCTTTCAAACTCCCAGGTTGCTCTCTTGTATCACCCCTCCCCCAAATTTAAAGTTCGGAAAATTATTTCATGCTCCTGGGAGCACTAACCATGATGCTCCGCCATAGTGTACAAGACTCGTGATTCACTGTGTCACTATGGTGATCTTAGGAGCACCATATAGAAATAGACATTGCTTATTTGTGGATAATTTTATTGAAGAGATCAGACTTGATAAAAGAAAGTTGTTTATTCTGTAGGAATGGTTATTGTTTGCAGGGGTTAGTGTTTGATTTTCAGCCTCAGGATCCTGAAAACATATATGTGGCTCTGGCTGCCTTATCTGGTAGAGCTATCCCAGGTAAGCGAATACTGTTATTTACTCGTCTTGTGGTTTGTAACTCCATAAACCGAAGCAATGTACCATTTTGTAACTCTCTTTTGCTTTACATCTTGATTGTGTAGGAAATATTTTGGTAAGAAAAATTAGCAAGATTCCTAAGAAAAAGTGTTGGTACATTGGTTCATCCAAGTTATCAAATGCTGTAGAAGCTGCCTATAACTTCAACAGCAGCTGGCAAACTGATTTACGCATTGGCCACCATGATTGTCGTCACTATACCAATGGTAAATTTAAGACCACTCTGTTCCCTGCTTTAACAACGACTAATATATTTGAATGAGCTCTTTCGAGGAATAAATTAGTACTCGCTTTGTCTAGAATTAGTCGTCACATTATATCTATGTATTTTCTTGTTTGAAATCTCTGTATATCTGCTTGCTAGGACTGGCTGAAATGTTGATTGGAGAGAAAAATGTACTGGACAACCTTCAGGAGAATCAACAGGGGATGGATTACTAGATGATGCCGTGTCTCATGTATATTTTCATATTAATAACAAGCTCTTTAGGCCATGTCTGGCTACAAAAGAAACTACCTTGCTCGCCTGTGAACGGGGTTGTTGGTCATATGAGACATCGCACCAGAACGGGGTTTAGCATAAATTCACACGGACAGCTTATAGTTGCTAAGACTAGCTACTTACCATCTAGCTGATTTTGTGGCATAATTTTGACATAATAATATACAGTATACGACTCACTGAGGCTTGCATTCATTTTGAGAACTATTTTATATATTGCCAACATTGAGCTTGTGAATTGGGTTGTTGGTCAAAGTCCAACATTGAGCACACCGCGTTTGCAGCTTGAGCTTGTGAGCTTTAGTCAAAATCCAACATTGAGCACACAACTCTTCAAGCTGGGCGTAGTACAAGACTCACTGAGTACAGCTCAAGCTAAGTCAATTTATGCTCAACATGCATCATCATCATTCATTATAAAAATTATGATGTCTTTTGTTAGATTTGTGGTTCAATTTCCAGCAAAAGAGAAAAGATGTAAAAACGAACCTTCAAGGTGTGCTGTATAATGGTGTAATAAATTCATGCTTCAAGCGTTGTCCTAAGATAGCATAGAGAAATGCAAGATCAATCACAGCAATAGGCAATTGTATGCCAAATGTACAGACCAAAGTCAGAAAGTCCTCACAGCACACCAAAAGCTGTAAAAGGCTTTGGATATATTAGCGTTGCCAAATTAGAATCTCTAGACATTAGACAATCATATAAGTATTACACAAACTAACAAGTCCTCAATCAAGAACCAACACTGATTCTACCAAGCCTTGCCCAATCTACAAAGAAAGTAATGCTTCCACCTTTGCTACGGGATCTTCCTCCTTTTTAGGGGTTGGACTTCTATTAGCCTCGTCATACATATCATGCTTCCACTTCTCAACCTGGGAACCACTTGAACGATACCCTTGTCTTCCACCAAAATTATCCCTCCCCTTGAATTTGCCATCATTATCAGCACCACTAAACCTGCCTCTGGGAGGAAAGCCAGTATTTTCAACTCGTCCTCGGTTTGAAAACGACCTCTCCCTTACATATCCTCGGTCATGCTCGTTTCTTTCCAGAGGTCGACGATCACGAGCTCTGTGATCCCATCTTCCAGTACCACCAGTAGAGCTAGCAGGATGGTCAAACTTACTAGGTTCAGGAACAGCATCATTTTCATTCTCAGACTTCAGAGGAAGTTTCTCCTCTCTAAACGGACGTCTTTTTTTGGTAGGTGGATGTGCATCAGATTCCGCTTCCAAAAATTTATCATGTCGCCAGGCATGGTTGATACCACCTTGAGCTCGAGCTTTTTCCTCCCTTACTTTTGGATTAGAGGGTGCTGATCTATGTGCTGCTCGGTCTTCGTCCCTGGAATCGCTCCACCATCCACGTTCTACGCAAATAGATAGCAAAAAGAATTAACCAACAAAAATAATTAAAAATTAAGAAAAGAATATCAAGATATCTAGCTCAAAGTGTATAGGGGAAGGAACTTGAGGACTTTTTCCAATTCTCCAAGGACTATCAATAAGCTGTAGATCCTAATGATATTATAGAGTTTGTCAAAAGTTCTTACCAAATATACTACAATGAAACCAAGGAAGAAAATAATGAGTATCTGACACCCAAGTCACTGATTTAGTTTGTGAGAATAATTTGCTCAAAGTAAAGCCCTCATCTCCTGCAATTAACTTAATGCATATATCCTAGTACCTCAGCTACTCCAATCTAACAAATGCTCTCAAATTTTCATCATCAGTGGGCAAAAACTGTGACAAGTGTCTGCTACCTTTCCAGTCCCTCGTCATCATCCATACTTCCACTTCCTCCAGCTACCAACTTATATACCTTAATTCATTCCCCTCTTTCCCTTCAGTCTAATGGCAGTAAGCACTAAAGTCTAGACATTAAGTTACCTGAGACTTCATTCACTACCAATTACCATCCTCTTCCACTGACCAAGCACAGCAGCCAAAAAATCAAATGGGAATTTAAAGAGTACCTTAAAAAACTTAGTAACATAAGAGCACCTTGAAAAGCTCAAACAGTCAGTAATTTGTGTCTTTTTATTTACAAGAAATTTACTTTTGGGTTTTGTGATGGAAAGGTTCCCCTGGTTTCTTTATTTTCCCTTGCCCTTTTTCAAATAATTTCCCACCTCAGATAAGAATATGAAGATTTAGAGTTAAACACGCACCTTCAAAGAGAATTCCAGCCATAAACGAGCTCAAATGGCCACCAATACTTTTAACACTCTTTAGTATATCTAATTTGGTACAAGGGGTATTTGACTTTTAAGATACCCATCTGACAAATTAAATTCGACCAATATAAGTTCTTCCAGACAACCACTTTCATACAATAAACCTTTGACTTCTAAATCACTCTCCACAATACTTTTAATACTCTTTAGTATATCTAATTTGGTACGAGGGGTATTTAACTTTTAAGATACCCATCTGACAAATTCGACCGATATAAGTTCTTCCAGACAACCACTTTCATACAATAAACCTTTGACTTCTAAATCACTCTCCACCCCTTGCACCCAGTACTCTAGATATCTTACTTGCAGATAAACACTGAGAAGTGAATCCGACATCAGCATTGATTTCAAACAAAAGAAAAGGAGAGGGAGGGGGGATGATATAGAAGGGAAGGAAGATAAACACTGAGAAGTGTTTATAGTCAAGGAGAGGACAGGCAAGGTTGCAAATCTTACAGTCGTCTACTCCCACATCAAGAAAACTCTCTCCCATGAACTTCCTCATGATAATGGTAAGACTACATTCTAATTGTGTCAAGTTATACCGTTATACGGCCACATTGTAGCTTTACTATCATCCTATGAGAAAGCATCTAGTACAATGTCAGAAATTTTGAGGGTCATATGACTCGTATCCATGCATCCTCAAAACTAAGAACATTTTTGTAGAGGAAAGGTAGCAATTAGTGAAAGAAGAAAAAAAAAAAAAAAAAAGAAAGAAAAGCAACCACAAGTTAAGAAAGAAAAAAACTTACCAGATGTTGATCTGCGTCCAGAGCGGCTGCCATCTCGGGCGGCAGTTCGGCGGTCATCATGCTGTTACAAGACATGAATAGGCAAGCCTAATATAGTTACACTTACACGGGGGCACTGAAATCATTGGACGAACAAGTACCCTCCTAGTTCAGCCCAGTAAATGGATTTGCAAATACTGAATAACCACCAAGTGATCAAACTCATAACTTCATAAGTATGCCTATTTGAACAAATAGCACATTCAGAATAATACAGACATACTCATATCCATGCTAATATCATTATACTGGATATTTGCACGGTTAAAGCACAAAATAATCAGTTGTAGCCTTAATAACTTGTCCAAGCACTGTAGAAACATAAGCACTTCATCCAGCATACATGCACATGTGTACACACACATACATAATTTTTAAGACACATCTCTTCCTGAAAACACTCAATTCACTTTAAATTTCCTTCATTTTAATTGCCAAAAAAAAGGCTGTAGACAAAATGGAAACACCATAGAAAAGTAGCAGTAAATAATTATATCAGCAGAAATAAATAAGTGATACACATAAATACATTGCAGAAATAAATAATTGCAAAATAGAATAAAAAAAAAATCAAATTGATTTATTTAAGGAAACCTGATGATACGATCCACGGGAGACTGCTGTTGGATTAGAGTGACTGGTTCTTTCACTTATTCTATTAGTCTTGCTATCCAACATGGAACTTGCATCTTTGACATCCTGCTTAGATTCAGAAGCTGGTGAACCCTCAAGCAGAAAAGCATCTTGACGGCGATGTCTGTGATTTTTATCTATATCCTTATAGCCAACTTCTGATTTAAGTTTGTTGGGACTTTTCTCTGTAGGCATTTTCCCTTTGCTATCAAACGTTCTGACTTATTACCAATCTGACATGAGGATCAACTTACTATTATATTCACAACTAGAAGAATTAGACAACATTGTTCTGCTAGTAAACAAGACATGGTCAAAATTCAAAGAAAGCAGTTTATCTAAATGATCTGTGAGTCTGTGAATAACCCACAACTTAAAGAACAAGAGAAGGAAAAAACACAAACAAATACATCCATCTTACATAAGCTATAAGCATACTAGAACACAATCGGTTACAACTGCGATCAAACAATATCATAGACCTAATATCTCAGAGATAGCACTCAATTCCCACCAGTCACATATATGAGAAGTTAAGCAACCTTCCCGGTGAGCACAGAGACTCTTGCTCATGCTCGTCAATCATGAATTTCCTGTTAATCAAATGCAACCCCAAACAAAGCCCAAATATCTTGGGCTAAATCAATCAATGACACATGAGTCATCGAGTCTTAAAGTAACCGCTTTCTTTCAATCAAATGCAACCCCAAACATAGCCCAAATATCTTGAGCTAAATTTAATCAATGACTTGAGAGTCGAGAGTCTCAAGAATCAAGACTATCAAAGTAAACGCTTTCCTTTCAATCAGATTCAACCCCAAACAAAGCCCTATATTCGTCAATGCACAAAACATTTTTGGACCCTAGAACCTCCTGTCAATCCTAGTATGTGGTGCCAGAATCTAACCCTAATTTTCAACAGCAGATAAAGTTAAATTGGGATTCCAAAATAAACAAATAAACTCATTCAGAATAACCAACAATCGAAATCATACAATGCGCCTCAGTAAACGCTCAATTTCAACGATTCTAAATAACCCAACTCTGAAATTTCAATATACAATCAACCCTCTCAAAATCAAAAACAATAATCCAACAATTTACAAATTCAATTGAATTGAAATCAAAGCACGCATGGTAATAACGGTCATAGTGAATTAAAACTAAAAAAAATTAAAGTCACAATAACAATAAATTCGAAAATTTGAATGTAATAATCTAAGAAATACCTGAATTGTAGAGGAAGACGGGAGTTTTGTGAAGAAATGAATTGTGCAGAATCGGAATTTGAGGTTGAATGATCTGAGAAATTAGGGTTTGAGAGCTTCAGGATTTGAGTTTGAGCTCAAACTTCGGGAGTGGAGGACCAGAAGGTGTGGATGACTGGATGATGCTTATTTGGCGGCACGACAGTACGAGACCACGAGGGATTGGGAATTTGGGATAGGCAAGGTCGTAAACAGACCTAGCAAATGGTTCATTCAGGTCGGGGACGGGTCGGGTCAATTTGGGTTAATAATGTTCGATTGGGTTTAGATCAGGTCAATTTATGTTTTGGATTGAGTATTGGGCCAGATTCCTCTTTCTCCCCTCCATTACGCCTCAGTTCTCTCTCCTTTATCTCCCCTCCATCCTCCATCTCCTTCTCTTTCTTCTCTTATCTCCTTTCTAAGCCTCCCTTCTTTCCTTTCTCACGCCTCACCACAACGAAGAGCGGCGAACACCGAGTACCCAGCGACGAGAATGAAGAAAACGTCTGGGTTCAGTTTTCCGGCTCGGCGTTAGGGTTCAGATCACTGCTTCTCAAGTCATATCTCACTTGATTTTCCGGTATTTCATTAAACTTTTAGCTAATTTTCGAGTTTTTGCA